TTACTCACTACACTAAATGTAGAATTAAAACAACCAATAGAGTTTCAAAAGATATTATCAATTAAATGTTATTTATAGCAATTCAGCCTTCAGACAATATACTCACTTTTAAGTTATTTATGTAACACATAAAATGGAGGTTGAATCTTCTTGATTTTAGACCATTTAATGTCCATTTGGAACATCGTGATCCTTACGAGAAGATACGTCTTTGTATTACATGTCTTAAATCTGTTTGTATCAAGAACGACACAAAAGCTACCAGACATCCTTGTTAGATGATGAAAGTCCCACATTGGCTAATTTAGAGAATGATCATGGGTTTATAAGCCAGGAATACTAACTCTATGAGACATTTTGGGAAGCGCAAAACAAAGCTATGAGAGTTTATGGTCAAAGTGGACAATATCATTATTCATTATCCTTTACCAGAAAAATTGTTGATAATCTCCATGAAAGCAGCTTCTCGAGCTCGAACCCAAGCTCTCTCCCTCGCACAAAACTCTAGCATTTCACGATCAAACCTAGCCACCTCTTTCTTCCTCCATTCTTCCTCTTTAACAATTCTCTCCTTTTCTCCATCTTCAATGCTCGCCATAATCTTCTCCATCCAATTTTCCTGCACTTCCATTAATCTCCTCACCTTCGAATCCACCATTCTCTCTACCTCCTCTCTCCACCCTACACCCTCCCCTTTCGACATGTCGTCTTCTCTCCCTTTCTCCACCCTCCTCTGATTCATCATAAACGCTATGGCCGACAGATCGTCGTCGTGGTAGTTCCCTGACGACGACGTTTCGAAATCAGACGACATTGAAAAGCTTTGGCTTATTCCGCCAGCTTCTACGTGGTTCTCTCCGCCCGTAACTGGGGATGATAATTGGTGGTTACAGTCGCCGTAAATGGCTTCGAGTTGCCGGAAGAATCTGTAGTGCTTCCCGTCGTGCCTCCCCGTTTTACCTTCCTTTGTTTTCTTGTAGTATTTGTATAAATTGTCGAACTTCTCTTTGCATTTCCTCCCACTTCTTTTGTACCCGTATTCCTCCTCCATCATCCTGTAATGTAATGGAGTAAGTATCACATTTTGTACGCGACTCTACAGACTCTACACAATGGTATGATATTGTCCATGTGCTCAAGACAGCTTTGCTTTAAGATTTCCAAAAGGTCTCAAACCAATAAAAATAATATTCATAAACCCATTTACTTTGGCCTTTCTCACACGGCTTCAAACCAAAGAAGACAGTATTCATTTTATTATAAATCCATGATCATTTTCTAAATTAGTTGATGTTGGGCTTTCATCATCTAACACCTCCCCTCGAACAAGAACAAAGTACACCTCCTCTTGATCGTGGCTCGACTTCTTTTTCTTTTAAAGTTCTTTGTTCGATATTTAAGAAGTTATCAATCTATTGACACGACTAAGTTTAAGACATGACTCTGATGCCATGTTTTAGACGAACACGACTCTCAACAATTGTATGATATTCTCCACTTTGAGTGGAAGTTTTAGTGGCTTTGCTTTCGGCTTCCCCAAAAGACCTCAAACCAATGAGATAATATGATTTTATTATAAACTCGTGATCATTCCCTAAATTAGACGTGTGATTTTCATCATCCACTACATTTAACAACCATTATTAATTTTATCCAAAAATATTTAAAAAATCAAGAAGGATTGAAAATATGAGTTTTAATTAGAATTTAATAGGAATGTAATAATAAATATACCTAGAAACCTGATCCCAAAGAGGACCTTTTTGATTACTCTCTTTAAACTTGGAATCAAGAAGAGATCTGATCTCAAGAAGAGTGAGAGTTTCCTGTCTTGGCCATCTACTGTTAGCTCCATTACTTACCCCAACGGCGTCGTTTCCATAGGGGCGCCATTCACCATCCACGGCCTTATTCCGCCGAGAAAATGGAGCGGACGATGCGGCGCCACCGCCGCCTGCAGTTGTTGTGGAGTTATCGGAACAGCCAAAGTGAAGCTGGCCGCTGGGAAAAGTAGCGGGATCGGTTAGGACGAGCGGGATAGGCTGGAACTTGGGTAGCGCTGACGGTGGTGGCAGTGGAGAGAAGCCACGTGTCAGGTGAGTGTGGTGGTGGAAGAAGGAGTCTAGGGTTTGTGGGATGGCCGGAAAGTTGGGTTCATTGGCCATGAGGTGGCGGAGATCTGGGTGTGTGTATTTGTCGGACATAGCTGTTTTGAGAGGGCTTGATGGTTTTGCGAGTAAGTGGAAGGTGGTCGGTGAAAAATGAGCCTTTAGGCTAAGGAGACAGGATCCGAGTCTTCCGCAACTTAATTTTATTAGAGAGAAAGGGGCTTTGGAATGTACTAACCCAATCAATTTTTAACACGTGTAAAACATTATATACAAACATGATAAATTCACCTTGTGGTAAATTTAATTAATATATTTAATTTTTTTTTACTTAATCTATATATAGACCATTAAAAAAATTAATAAACTTAGACTATTAAGATTCAATAAAATACTTCCAAAATTTAAATATATGAAAATAGGGTGGATGATACGCCCCTGTGATCAGCCTCTTAGGGTTTTGGATGACCCACATGGTGTTGGCCTCTTAATGGTCGTCGCAAAATGCTTGAGTTTCTTTTTGCATGTGTCTCGATTCTTTTGAGTCTTGGCTTGTTTAATGAATTCGGATTGAACCACACTTAGTACAAACTCTCGTAATCTTGTTTTGGAATTCGTAAGAACCATCGTACTAATGAAAATAATATTATTTGATTATAAACATATGATTATTTTTTAAATTAGCTGATGTGAGACTTTCATCATCAGAGTACTAATATTATTTTTTAAATTTAATGTGCATCTTTTTAAGCGAAAAAAGATTAAACATTTTAAGGTATTTTAAACATTTTTTGAAACATTTTGAAAGTTTATAACTATTTTTTTATTTAAAATATTTGTATTAATTCAGCCATAAATTTATTATACTGGTATTAAATAAATAATTTAGAGCATAGTGAAACTCTTTAAATTATAGTCCATATAATACAACAATTATAATTTAACCTTTTTATTTTTCAATAAACAGAAACACTGAATCTCTTTTCAGAATATATATATATATATATGAAATAAACAAGACACTCAAAGGGAGAGTTTTTTTTTTTTTTTTTTTTTCCCTTAAAAATAAAGTAAATAAATATATGACGTGAATTTGGGTTCTAATAAAAGATAAAAACTCCCAAAATTGACTTTAATTTGCTACACATCACTGAAGCCTGTAATTTTCTATTTTACCCATGGGGTAACTCAGAAGTTGTCTGGGGGCTGGTCTTTTTACCTCCCTTTATAAAATAAATAAATAAAATTCTTGATACTTTTAGTGATAATATGATTTTTTTTAAAACAGAGATTATTTATTTATTTGGTGGGCTTGAGATTGGAATGAAAAGGGGCGGGATTCAATTAATAATCATTAACGCAATTATATATATATTTAATGTCACTGTCACCTTTATTTTCATCCAGAAAATGGGAATTTTTGGTAAGCTAAAATTAACACGCGCACGTGTTTATGTTACACACACATACATACATATACACATACATACATATACAGATACATATACATATATATAATATTTATATAATTATTAAAAATCAAAATATAAACAGAAAATAAATAGTTAAATTTTTGTTTCACACCTGTACTACTTTTTCAATTACAAAAACACTCATCTTATTTTATACATTATTTCCGTTACCGTATAGAAGTAGGACTTACCTTTATAAAAAAAGGGAGCAAGTAGATAATTTATGTCGCTATCGAGATGCAATTTAGTTGCTCTTACACCTACCAGGTCTAGTGACTTACCCCAGACGTTGCCCCTGACTATGTGCCATGTCATCAACTAGTTTATCTCACATTTAAAACACAAAACACAATAAAACAAAAAAGGGAAGGGAAGGAAATTATTATTTTAAAATAGACAAATTCTAAATGATTTATATGACACATAACAGGAAATAAAAGAGGTGTCGGTAAATTATATCCATAAACATTGTGCAAGTGGCGTGGTACGGATCCACAATCGCCACATTAAATTAAATATAGTTAATTTCGTATAAAATTTCAAATTAATTTGGTTAGGATTAAAAGGTGGATTATATATTAATCTAATCTATAATTTGGATGATTACATATATAATTTATGAATAAATATTAGTTAAAAAAGGTGAGTTGATGTAGCATAATTTTTTCTTGGCTTTAAGGGATAAAAAGAAGAGAGTGAAGAAAATAAAAGAATTTTGTCGGGGGAGGTGGGCTTTGTCTTTGCCTAAAAGGGATGTGGCGCCCAGTTCTCTCAATCTCTCTATTCGCACAGCTGTACATCACAGGCAGGCAGCCCACAGGTAGCCATGTACGGACCGGACCGACGGGCAGGGGTCCGCAGTGAAAAATAGCGAAGGAGAGATCGGCAGAGGGCTGAGAAGACCGCAGAAAAAGTTACCGCTGCGTACCTTTTCATGCCATCATTGGATAATCTCCCACTCCATTAAATAGAGAGGGAAAACCCACCGTTCACACTACATTAATAAAAATATCATTTAAATGATTTTTTTTCCTCAAAAATACATTTTAAACTCTAGAAATTTTTTAAAAAAATCTGAAAATTAACTTTTTAAAAAAAACTTTAATTTTATAAAAAAATTAAACTGTTAATATAGTAATAATAATTTTAGAGATATTATTTTTTATATAAATATAGAAGGTGTTAATGATGTTTTTAAAATTTTATAAGTATTTTTTAAATATTTTTAACTAGTAGAAGGTTATTAATATTATTAAATGAGGTTAAAAATACATAATATTGTTTAAATATAAAAATTTAAGAGTATTTTTTAAATATTGGAAGGGTGATTTTTAAATAAGGAAAAAAATATTTTAAAAAAAGTCCGGATCCAACCCGAACTTGGATTCGAACCCGACAATAACACGGAACGGAACGAGCCCCCTGCATTGTTTCCCTCGACCGAAAAAACATGGATACCGCGAACCCGCTGCAGATTCAGGGAACCTTTCAAACAAAATTGAAGCAAAATCAGAATGACAATGTTAGGGTTTCTTACTATCCCATACCAATGGAAGATTTCCCCATCTCTCTCTTCATCTTCATCACCTTTTCCCCTCTCAACGAGATCTTTCCTCTCCTTTCCACTCTTCAAATTCCCTCTCCATTACTCGGAATCTCAAATTTCTGGTAAACGCAAAAGATTCGCGGCGTTGGCGAGTAATAACGACAATGGATTGGGCGGAAATATCAAGGAGAGAGAAGGAGAAAGAAATGGAGCGAAGGGATCCAAGGGCGACGATGACTTGAGGAAAGAACGAGGGCCGGTTTTCAATATCAAATGGGCTGAACTCTTAATCGATCCGGATCCTGATAACATCTTGGCCGTGGCGTTGACTGGCTTGCTTGCTTGGGCAAGTGTTCAGGTTTTGTGGCAGCTATTCTTCATCTCTTTGGCTATTTTAGTGGCTGCTCTTAAGTACTCTTTTATTGCTGCGCTTCTTATTTTCATTCTAATTACATTACTATAGAACTACAACACCATCATTCTTGTATAGTTCCTTCCCTTTTATGACTGTTTATTATCAAGAGAAGGTTAAATTTCAAAGATAGCAGGTTTCTGTCACGTCCTGGTTTTTGAATTGTTAATTTAAGCACTCTTAGTAACCCATTTTTGGAATGTCCAAAGCCAAGTCCGCCAATCCTATAACAGCCCATGTAATGAACTTTACTGGGTTATGAGCAGGTATTTTACCATAGGTTTCCACTTGTTTAATTCCTTTTGAAGCTTGTACTCGAAGGTAGTAGGTGCAGGGTGGATGATAGGAGAAATAGCAGTAAAGGAATAAATGATCCACAGTTTCCTTATTTTCATTGCAATGGCAATGCTAATTTGTTGAAGCATTAAGTTCGGAACGATGAATCTATTCTTCTCATTCGTGTCGAGGCATCCGACGGATTAACTCTGGATGGATGTTTAGCTTGATAAATTTCAGAGATGTCTTGCATCCAAAGAAGTAGATACACAAAAATTTCGAGTAGCTCATTAGTTAACCGGATCTTTAACCTCAATCGTTACGATATCCTATCAGGACGAGGGACTGGACTGATATGAGGATTGTTCACTAGCCTTACCTCCTTAGGAACCAAAAGAACTTGATTTAAACAATTCATGTCTTGCATGGTAGTCTTATAGAGGAGCTTCTAATGCAACAATCTACGGGTTTTTAGGTTAGTTATAAGTATAACCAGACTCCTTAGTTTGTCAATCAAACGGCTTACCTGTTGTCCAAAGAAATCTTCAAGATTGCTGCTTTCTTGCAATAGGTTGGATGTTTAAGCTTGGGGATCGATCAATCTCTCAGACTTAGCTTGGTGTTGTCTGTTGTGTGCTATATATGTGGATGACAGGATTCTAGTTGGAGATTTTCACATACACAGCCCAAGTCCACCACGGACGGATATTGTCTATTTTGACTCGTTATATATTGTCGTTAGCCTCATGGTTTTAAAACGCATCTTTGAGGGAGAGGTTTCCACACCCTTATAAGGAAACCAATGTGGGATCTTACAATCCACTCCCCTTGGGGGCCAGCGTCCTCGCTGGCACATCACTTAATGCCTGACTTTGATACCATTTGTAACAGCTCAAGCCCAACACTACCAGATATTGTCCACTTTCTCTTGTTATATATCGCCGTCAGCCTCACAGTTTTAAAACACGTCTACTAAGGAGAGGTTTCCACACCCTTATATAAGGAATGTGTCGTTTCCTCTCCAACCGATGTGAGATCTCACAGATTGTCTCCTTGAGTATTGAGGATCTCTCTACTTTTGCCTTAAAAAGAAGAATGGGGTGTTTCATGTTATTTTAGTAACGTGTTGTATTGTTAAACTAATAGTTTTGATTCTTCCACAATAAAATATACATCCTATGAGAGTCTGCTTGGGGACGTTACAGTATGCTGAAGGCTGGGTTTTTTCATTCAGGCGTATCATTAAGTATTCTCCCTTTGTTAGTTGAACAAACCATCATGGATTGGTCTAATAAATAGTTTAGAGGGAATGCGTTCAGTCATGCTGACCACTTACCTTAGATGATCGATTCCTATGAGAATAGTCTAGGTGCATGTAAGCTAGCCCGATCGTGTTTTTGTGTCTATAGTGGTTATGCATTGGGTCAGGCTGCAAGCCGCATATGGTTATCGTGGCCTTGCAAATGTGCTGAGATTGTTAGGTTAACTTCTTTATCAGGAGAATTAGGAGTACGCATCGACTTTGTGGCACGGTTCTGCCTAACTTTGTGCAACACCTAATTCTTGTAGCTCTTCAAAATCCTACTTGCTATCTACTTTGTGTCAAAAACAAGATGCTGGTTGTCCTCAATCTCCCTGCTTATGTTCATATGCTCTGGGACGAGCTAATAGATGTGTTAAACTCGTTCAGATATGCTACATTTCTCTGGCCAAGTATTGTGAAGGAAAATTTTTAGCTCTTCTTGGCTCTCTGTGAACACTACAGCCTCCTCCTTCAACTTCACTTCGCTTGGGTTTCCTTCAACTTGGGCTTATTTATTTGTTCCGTTGCGGGCATAGGGCAAATCGCCTAATTCCCTTAAATTTTGGTATGTTATGAGCTTTTTTCTATATTGTTACAAATTTCAAAATTTGGGGTTTAATTGCTACTCATTATGGTTTAACAACTAAATTGTTATAAAGTTGAAGGTAGATAGATTAAAATCCTTACAAACTAAATTTTAAATACCAAATTGCTGATTTCATTCAAGTTTGTGTACCAAAAAGGGAATTTTAACAAGAAAAAAAAAAGAATTATGAAATTGGAAATTTAGTCTTCAATATATTATTAAATGGGTCGTATTGCCTTAGATTAAAAAAAAAAAAAAAAAAATCGAATTAATCCACATTAATTGCTTTTTTATGACGCCGGCAAGTTGTATCAGTGGACAATGGACAAGTTTTAGTGATGTCCAGATTTATACTAAAATGAGAGATGAGCGAGTACGGTAGTCATTGTTTACGTGTCATGCATTTAACATTGAACTGACATCTTCACTAATTCCCTATGTGTCCTCAAATCAAAATTGGAATTGTATACTTGTATTTGATGTTTAATCACAAAATGCATTGTGGTAAATTGAAGTTATTCATTAATATCTTAAATTTGTTTAAAAATTTAAAAAACGACTTTAAACTTTAAAAAAACTATAAAAATAATCTTGCAGTTACTATCACGTTTCAATAATACTAATTAGTTTCAATAATACTAATTAACTTTTAAATCTATGAAATGTCAATAACTATAATATTAACGATTAATTTTTTAATTTTTTTTATATATAAAAATTAAGAAGGTTAATGCTACCTTCAAAATTTGACCCGTATTTTTTTAACATATTTGGTAAATATATTTATATGAAAGGGTATTAATAATATTTTTTGAAACACCATTCAAAGTTTTAAATTATTTTTTAAACAAAGTATGAATAGTTACGTTCACAGTATTTTAAAACTTTTTAAAAAGTTGGAAGAGGTTATTGAAACTTTAAATTTATGGGTTTTTTTTGGACAAATGATTACATTTAAGTTTTTATTTATTTATTTATTTAATTTAGCCTTATAATTTATTTTCATAGCACTTGTTTTCTTCTGCCTTGTAGTTGAATTGTGGGGGAAAAAATGCAAATACAAGTTACTAAATAAATAACTTCGCATTAAACAAAATAACTTTTATGAAATGCTTTTTACCGAGTTTGGCATACTCTTCTTCAGATCATTTTTTTTTTTGTTTGTTATTAACAACATTTTAAATAAATGTTTATCTGTTCCATTATTTTAAAACGATTCAATTCTAGCAATCACATCATATACGCTACGTCGCGAGTATCTCGAGATTGAAACCCCGACTTGAAACTATTACACTTATCAAGTGCTCGTTTTTCTAACATGCCTAGACATACAATACATTATTAATAATACTATTCTAGAAGATAAACCTTTAACAGCCCTGCTAAGAATTATTGGTACAAGACATTTTGAGAAATCAAAAGTAAATAATACCATACCGTTCTAAAGTATGTATTTTCTAACAAACCATGATAAACACATAGTTTTAAACAAAAAAAAGAATAAAAACATTAAATATTTAGACACTTTCTAAAAATAGAAAGATACGACTTATTTGACGGATATCTTAACAATAAGTTCACAATCTATGTAACTTAAAATATTTAATGATGAAAAAAAAAACCGATCTCACCAAATATTTATTTTAAGTACGGGTATCTTAACTATAGAAAAGATCATTAAACTCAAATTATTTTGGATGATTAGATATGGCGTTAGTTTAGTTTCATACATTAAGGTAAATCTCACCTAAAATTAAAAAAGAAAAAATATATATATTATTTCCTTTTATTTTTTTTTAAAATTTGTTCTGTCTCGAATCCCCGATTTCAAGCGAGAAAAGCGATTTTGTCCTCGGATTTTGTTTTCCCACGTTTCACCGAAAAAGCATGCACCCCGCGCGCTTAAATATAGTTCGGAGGGAACTCGTAAAGACAAAGAGGCGCGAGACTCGTCCCTCGAAAAGAGCTCTCCATATTTAGAAACTTATCGGTTCTCGCCATAGCTGTTTCTTCTTTCCTTCATTCATTCATCACCTGTCTCCGTCTCTCTGGATATTTCATCGTCAAACTCTTCGTCGATGTCGCTTTTGGATTATTATGATTCAAGCCGGATCATTCACAGGTGCGCTTTAACTTTTTTGATTTCTTTCTATTCAATCAGAACTTGTGATGCGATTGAAAAACCCTAGGTTTTCGTGATTTATTCTACTCTGTTTGTCATGCTTATCTTTGTTCCTTTAGTTTTCCGGAATCTTCTCACTTGTATCCGGAGATTTCGTGGTTGTAGAAGCTGTATGTTAGTGTCCGTCGATCTGCCATAAGATGATGAAAGATAAAGAGAGAGAGAGGGAGAGAGGTAGAGAGGGATAAACGTTTTGTTCTGTTTTTTTTCTGGCGTAGTTTTTCCTCGTTTTCTTTAAGGTGTTATTGGATTATTTAGTTTTAATCTCTTCTGGAGGCGTGTTTTAGTTAATCTGGTTGTTATGGACGATCGAGACAAGGCGTAAATTTACTTCTTGCTGTAGAAAGTGTTTTGTGAGTGTACTGTTTGCTATATGGCTACGGATGTTGATGTTGTGTGCGAAAATTTGACAAATGCTGTTAATTGTCAAAACGTTAGAATTTCTCAATCTTGTTGAGAGGATATCATCGACATAGAGAATTGAATAATTTTGAGGTAAAATGACTGTTTAATGTTTTGAGTAAGAAAGTTCTAGAGATCAAGGTTCATTGTTTTTTCTCTGACCTTTTACTGTTTGTTGTTGTTTAAAACTTGTTTAATTTGTATATCTCTGTGAACTTGAGGTGTTAACTTAAATCAGTGAAAGATATACTGATATATGAAAGATCTAGCTGATTTTATTATTTGATCGTAGTTTTAATGGTCTGAATTTGGAGAACGTGATAACTTTTGTAAATTTAAAATGTTTGGAGAATTTTTACAACCTATTACTGTCAGAATCATTTTCCATAATTGACGCTTTTTGTTAGATTAATTCATTGAATAATTTTGATTATAAACATGTGATTAGTTAAGATTAATTGTCGAGCATGCACATACATCTTCATCTTGTCTCAATAACTACCCTCACACTTGGGATGCATCTAG